GTTAGAACAGTTAACTTCTCAACAAGTTGCTCAAATTGAAGTTAAAGAAACTAAAAAATGACCTTGATTGAAAATAATTTTTTTCTTGATTCTTTACTAGAATTCTCTAATACTCTTTTGAAATCTTTCCTCTTGATAAATTTCATAGGTAATCCTTTCTTTGTCTAAATATGTTTGCAAAGATTTGGTATTTGCTAATTTAAAAATATAAGATGCAATCTTTTCTCCTTGTTCTTTTTTAAAATACTTCTAATGGTACAATAATTCTTAGGTTCCATGTAGACCTAATGTAAATTAACTTCATATTAACTATTTTTATTTAGAGATAAAACAAATATCATGATCATATTGATCATATTACATTGTACAGTCACACCTGTTTATTTGCATGCTGGTGGGACCAATGAATCTTTATGCAATAGACAGAGTATTACATATGATTTGTATATTGTGTGTTATATATAACACAAGACAAGGTTTATTTGTGAAAATGATGGGATGATCTTAAAAAAAATAAAGTGATGGTTAGAGTTTGTGTGGTTGGCACTTGTTCAACTTCCCAAAATCTTTGGATGGGCCAAAAAAGGTTGTTTGGATCGTATGATGGGATGATCCAATGTAAGTGCATATTCGCGTTATCATGTGACTGATGAATTAACTGTCACATGACATATTATGTAAAAATTGCTTCGCGTCATTCATGATTCATTAAAATAATTTTTGATTTTTACCCGATTTTACACAAACATTATATATTATTTTGTTATCCTTTATATCCATAATGAAGAAAGCTAAATTAAACAATGAACAACATCATAAACTTGTTTAAATAAGCAAAATGGTCCAAGAATGACCCAAAAAGTATTGATTAATTGGTGTGAACAAGAATTTGGAGTAAAAATTGATCTAGCAACAACTTCCAGAACCTTAAATCGTTCATCTGAATTTTTAAATAATGAAACAAATCCCACTACAGAAAAAATCTTGTAATGTGAAATATTTTGAACTTGAACACATGAAAAAGATTTATTCTGATTCTATGAAACAAAGCAATATTAAAGATTTTTTTGAATAAAAAATAAAATTATTGTCATTGATCTCTCCTTTTATAGTATGAATATGCATATTTATGTTAGTGGGACTTAGTAGAAACAGGATGCATATGCACATTTATGTTATGCAAATAGTTCATGAGCCCTGATATGGGACTGAGCTACCTTTATGCAAATGAACAGATTATGCAAATATACAGTATGCAAATAGATAGGTGCAACTGTAATACAATTGTGATGTTAAACCAATGCTATTGATCTCTGAAATTACCAATGTTCACTTTGTCTGGTTTTGTTGCAGCATGCCCCATATGAAAAAAAATTGTTACACAAATTTACTTAGTAAACATATAACAAAATTTGGAATTTTCAAAATGCTAAGGCTCCTCCAATTTTTAGTTTAAGGAAAAACTAGCTAATAAGTTTTGAAGCTTGAGTCATGAACAATAAAACTTATTGGTTAATTCTTTTATAATGATATAATAATTTTTTGTTTTAATATTTTGAAGCTGAACAATTGTTACTATATATAAGCAATTAATTTGAAAGTATCACGAAAAAATTTTAGGCCGATCATCGGCCTTTTAGGAAATCACAATTGAAGATCATTCCGAAATTTTACAACTTACATATAGACACAGTGTCTGAAATTGAGTGCGGGGGTTTGTGTTACATATTGAATTTAGCCAATCAAATTTGTCCTTCTGGTAGAAAATTTAACGTTGATTGGCTAAATTCAATATGTAACACAAACCCCCGCACTCAATTTCAGACACTGTATAGACATGAAAATATCTCAAATTTTTATTAAGCGGGTTACATTTTTTTGGGGGTAAATCAAATTTTGGATAGATGGTTTAAAGGGAGAATTATGATTTTTGTAGGGTAAAAAAAAAAAAGGTTATCCTAGAAAATGAGTTAAAAATTATAAACCTATTACTATCTTACCTTGTCTGGAATTAGTTTGGAAAAATCTGAACCCTCCTTCTCATCAATCAATCCATAGGCTTTGTCTACCATCATTATATATATGGCACAACAAAAATATACTCTAGAAATAGTCAAATAACTGATTTTTACTGGATATATATATATATATATAATTGACAATCGGGGGAATTTTAAAAAATAAATGCAAATACTTGTAGGTATTTGGTCCTTGTATATTTCCAAATAATCTTATTAAAAAGTAATCATAAGAGATCAACATGCTTTAAAAAAAAGATGTGATAAATTTGACTCACTATCCTATATAACAAAATAAATAGAGCTTTAATTTTGTGTCTTGCAACTAATCCTCTAAATGCTAGTTATGCACAAGCTTATTTATTGTATTGTTGGCTTTTTAAAAAAAATGAGAATTAAATAAGTAAACATTTTTATTGATTTAATTTAATTTGATTTTTTCTTACCATAGCAGCAGATGAATGTGAATGATTAACATCATCATGTCTCCATAAAGAAGTTACAGTTTTAGTTTGTGTATAAAATTGTAATCCAGATTTACCATCTAATTAATGACCAATATAAAATATTAGAAAAATTTTAGCCAATTACAAATTATAATGTTTCAAGTTATATATATAAACTTATGCTTTAAAAAAAAGATGTGATAAATTTGACTCACTATCCTATATAACAAAATAAATAGAGCTTTAATTTTGTGTCTTGCAACTAATCCTCTAAATGCTAGTTATGCACAAGCTTATTTATTGTATTGTTGGCTTTTTAAAAAAAATGAGAATTAAATAAGTAAACATTTTTATTGATTTAATTTAATTTGATTTTTTCTTACCATAGCAGCAGATGAATGTGAATGATTAACATCATCATGTCTCCATAAAGAAGTTACAGTTTTAGTTTGTGTATAAAATTGTAATCCAGATTTACCATCTAATTAATGACCAATATAAAATATTAGAAAAATTTTAGCCAATTACAAATTATAATGTTTCAAGTTATATATATAAACTTACAAAAATTCATATCTCCTTGAATTGATGCTTTGTTGCCTGTAAAAGAAAACATTGGTAAAGGAACAGGAATCGGAACATTGACTATTGAAAACAGTGAAATAATAATAATAATAATTATTATTATACATAAATTTATCTACTTTCTAGAAATCCTTTTTTTTAAACATACCACCAACTTGACCAACTTCAATATTAGAAGTAAAATATCGTGCATTACTACCACTATTGGTAAATATTGCTGTACCATTCCCATAAGGGTTTTTATTGATTAATTCAATAGCTTCATCAAGAGTGTCAGTATTTAAACATACTAGAACCGGCCCAAATATTTCTTCCTTATAATTATATATTAATAATTAATTGATGACTCACTAGAATAAAAAATATTAAAATTGATTAAATTACTTTATAACAATCCATGTCAGGTTTAACATTGGTTAAAATTGTGGGTCCTTGAATATTAAACAAAAATTTATATAATAAAAGGTTTATAAACATAATAAATAAATCAAAAAGATATAAATATGATACAATTACCAATAAAATTTCCGTTCTTATATTTTTCTTGTACAGTAGGATTACGGCCATCTAATAACAATTCAGCGCCTTGATCAACCCCTGACTGTATTAATTTTTCAACTCGTTCCTTTGCTTGACGCGTTATTAATGGTCCAAGATCAACATCTGGCTCGAATCCACCCGAAACTTTTAGTTTTCTTGCTCGTTCAACAAGTTCTGGCAACCATTCTTTTGATTTACCAACAAATACCATGGTAGACAAAGCCATGCAGCGCATACCACTTCCACCGAAGGCTGCTCCTGTAAGTTGATTAAGAGCATGATTCTACAATTACAAATAGTAAAAGTGTTAGTAATATCAATATGCTTTATCCTAGTTTATTGTAAAAGATAATCAAACCTTATTCGCATCAGGCATAATTACACCATGATTTTTTGCACCCAAATTTGCCTATTTTATAAAAATACCACAACACACACATATATATATAAATAATATTTTTTTCATGAAAAACCACGAGAATAATTAAAGTCAACAAACTTGAACTCTCTTTCCATTGGAGGTTCCACGTCGATGTATATATTCGCCAGCTAAAAATATAATAAATTTTTACCAAATAAATTTTATAAATGTTGCGAAAAAATTTCTTTACCTTTATTGCTTCCAACAAAAGAAATTGCTTTAATATGTTTATTGTCACAAAGGAAATTTACTACGTCAGTTGAGCCATGAACAACGTTGAGAACACCGTCGGGAACGCCAGCTAGTTTTGCTAATTTAGCAAGAATTATCATAGCACCAGGATCACGTTCTGATGGTTTAATTACCATTGTATTTCCACAAACAATTGATAAAGGAAACATCCACAATGGAATCATGGCAGGAAAATTAAAAGGACATATTCCAGCAGTTACACCTAAAGGTTCACGAATGGTAAAAGTATCCATATCCGTTGAAACTTCTAAAATTTCACCTAACAATAAGTTAGTTATACCGCAAGCATTCTCAACTATTTGTTGTCCTCTTAACACATCCCCTTTTGCATCAGAAAATGTTTTTCCTTGTTCTTCAGTAATTGACTTAGCAATTTCGTCGGTATGCTCTCGAATTAAAAATTGAAGATCTAACATGACGCGTTGTCTTGTAAGTATTGATGAATTCTTCCATGTTTTAAAAGCTTCAGCTGCTGATTCTACTGAGGCTTTTAATTCTTCTTGGGTAGCCTCTGGGACACTAGTAATAATTTCATTTGTCGCCTTCAAAGGTAATTAAATCTTATTAATTACACGTTCTAATTGAACAATTTATTGAATATTCAACATAAAATTAATTTATTAATTTATTATTGTCATTATTCCGTACTGGATTATAAATCGGATTCCATTTGGTTGTTTTCGACTCTATTAATTCCCCGTTAATGAAAAGAGGTGTTGTTTTAAACTTTTTTAGCTCGGTGGAAATTGGAGTTACTTGTTTCAAGTTCAAAAAATCAGTATTAAAATAACGAATCAGAAGCCTTTTATTGTTAAAATTTGATAGCTTTGTAGAATGTGAAAGTAAATTTATAAACATTTTAAATCCAACCTTTGAGAAATAATTTTAAGCCACAAAATTACAACTATTTTAATTTTTATTTATTTAGAAAAAATTTTTATTACCAACTCGAGATCAAAAAAAAAACAACCAAAATTTTATGATGAATTCAACAAGACATGAACAAGCTGTCGTAGAATTGAGTTCACTAGATCCTTTAGTAAGAATTAAGGCTTTACGATTTATTAAAAATAAAATCATTGGAAACAAAACAAAAAAAGATTTATATATTCGTCTTAATGTCATTTCAAAGTTTGTAATTTTACTATTGGTTTTAAAAAAAAAAGTTTTTTATTTTGATAATTATACCATTATTTAAAAAATTTAGGCTTGTCAAATTTTTTGAATTTAAAACCACCGATCCTCAAATTCAAATACAAGCAGTTATTGTTTTAGGAAGTTTTGCATACGGTAAATTATTTTAGTGAGGTTACGTTACTTGTAATTTATTTTTTCTAATAGATCTTTGATATTAAAATTTTTTTATTTATAAATAATAATAAGGAGGCGAGGAGAATGTGTCAGAGTTAATTAAGCATGATGCTGTTAAACCATTATTGGATTGTTTATCTTTACAAAAAGATCCACGACTAATTGAAGCTGCTGCTAGAACATTAAAAGTAATTTATAAAAGTCCTGTGGCGGATAAAAATGACATTTTTCAGGTTTTTAGATGGTTTTTTTTATTAATTAATCACTCTACTATTTGAATAAAAACTAATCATTATTTCATTTTTTTTCTAAAAAATAAAAAAAATAAAAAAATAGGACTGTTATTTAAATAACCTTATTGCACTTCTTAATCCCGACTCACTTAATCCAAAAACAGATCGTGAGAAGGTTGCCGCAATACATACTGCTGAATTGGCAGCAACAATAATTGCACGTTGTTGTGATACCAATGAACAACAAAATCAAATTGCAAATGCAAATGCTTTACGACCTTTGATAAATCTATTAACTTGTTCCATTCCTAAAGCACAAGAAGCAGCTTTGGATGCGCTTGCATACCTTTGTAGAGAAAATCCCGAATTCTGCAAAAACATAGTTGAAGCTAAAAGTAAAATTTAAACGTTAACTTTTTAGTACTTTTAATGCATGAAATTTATTATTTTTTAATTATTTCATAAATCAAATAGCCGAAAGAAATGAAGCCCCTGTAAGAATAATGTTGAAATTAGTCGGTGACAAATCACCAACAATGCGATTGACATCTGCAAAATGGTAAATTCAATTTTGTTTCGATAAAAACAGTCAATTATTATTAACTCATCAACTTTGAACTAACCGGTAATCATATGATTATAATTATTAAACAATTAACTAATCAGCATAACACATTTAAATCGTACAAACACTATAATTGAATATTCTAATGATATAATTTCAACAGTCTTACCAACTTTAGTCAAGTTACTTGACGAGAAAACTTCGGTTCGTGAAGAAGCACCTCATGTTTTAGGTAATAATTAATTAACTTATTAAAAAAATTTTTAAGACTTCAAGACTTTTATGGATAATATTATTAATTTTTTTAATTTAGCATGTTTAATACGTGATAGTGAAAAATTACAAAAGGCAGCGTGCGATTGTGATGCAGTTTCAAAACTAGCAAATTTTATTATACCTTTTTCTGACAAAGATCATTCGTATTATGATTCCGTTAATGATGGCGATAAGTTAAAAGAGGTATATATATATATATATATACACATATACATATATAGGTTAAATACCTTTTTAAATATTTAATATTAAGTGTACTCAAAATATAGAATGCTCTAATGGCTCTTGCAGCTATAAGCATATTATCAGATGATGGACGTAAATTGGTAAATAATATATATTTATTTGTATATGCATACATAGAACTTGAATTTTCAGTAATATTTTGAATAAATTTTTAATTGTGATTTGACATTTTTCAGGTAGTCGAAGCAAAAATTATTCCACATATTATAACAGCCATGTCACATCATTCTTATGGGATTCGCGCTGCAGCATGTCAATGTGCAAGAAGTCTATCTAGGTCTATCAGCATGTTACGAACTAGTCTTGTGGATGCGGGGATTGCCACACCATTGTTTAAAGTAAGTCAACCCTCGCACTAACGTATTTTATTTTATTATCTAAAAACCAAAAACATATCAAAAGAAAAATATCTTACTGACATGTTCTTGATAAATAAAAGTTATTATCAGATGAATCTACAGACGTACAGACAACTGCATGTGCTACCCTTTGTAATATAGTGTTGGAATTTTCTCCGATGAAAAAAGTAGTACATAAATCATATAATTATTTAGAATAAACAATTAAATAATTACTAAAATTTATTTAATTATTTATTATCAGATAGTTTTGGAGCAAGGTGCAATAGAAAAACTTGTCGAACTTGCACATTCACCTGACAATACGTTAAGACTCAATGCAGTATGGGCATTAAAAAATTTAGTTTATCATTGTGAATCAGAAATTAAAGATGCGGTCATGAAGGCTTTAACATATACAAAAATGGAAGCGTAAGTAATTTTTAAAATAAATCGATTTTTACGAGACAAAATATCTATATTATATTTATGTATGCATGTATGTATTCCTTATTGTGATTTAGATTAATTTCCGATCCAGAAGTTGACATACAAGAACAAGCACTAAATCTTTTAAGGAATCTGGCGTGTTCAAGGATTTATGTAAATGATTCTACTTTAATTGTTGATATTAAATGAATAACATTTAACTGGCATATTATTTAGGATATTGAAGAAGCGTTTAAAGGATTGGGTGAAACCCAGTTAATGAATATTATAGAAAACAAATTATGTTCGGACAGTGAAGAGATCATTAAACAGGTTTTTTTTTAATAAATAATTAAATGAATAAGCTTATTTGTGATTTGTAAATAACCATTGCGAATTATAATGATCTTGCAGATATTATTTGTTATTAGTCACATTGCAACTGGTAGTGAACGACACAGATCATCTATTATGGAAAGGCCTACGATATTAAAACGCGTTTTATGTTTTATGGAACATAACAATCCTGATATACGTGTAGTAACTGTTTTATGTCTCATTAATTTGATGCGAATGGAGGACAATCAGAATTGTAAATAGTTGAATTGATTAGTACAATTGAACCGATTTATCGATTTATATATAATGTATATATACAATTTTTTTTTCAATTTTATGATAATACAGGTTCCATACCACGAATACAAAAATTACGCCAGTTAGGATTTGATGAAAAAGTAAAAAATATGGCTACTGATGAGAATTTAGATGTCCGTGAAAAGGTTAAAACTGCACAAAACTACTTTACCCAAGCTTAATAAAATGTACACCTACACACGTATAATCCTATTTGTTTATACTCATAGAATAAATTAGATACTCCTATGATAAATACATTCATTAATTCATTCATTAATTCATTAATTCATCAATTCAATCATTTTTCAAGTAAAAACCTCAACACATAGAACTGTTTGTTAACAATATGAATTTATTTATTATTTTTATTGTTATTGAATTGAAATCTTATTTAATATTATTTTCATTAAATTTGCAAATTTGGAAATAATTAATTTCTAGCAATTTTACTGACAAGTAATTGAAAATAAAAATCCGAGTATCTAGTTCCTAATAATATTAGAATTAATTTTATAAATAAGTTAAGAGATAAATTATTATTAATATTTATTATCAGTTTTTTACCTTTTTCATCCAATGACTTTAATGTATTTACAAAATTCGATGTATATAATATAAATTTTTCATATAAAGAGTTAATTGTGCTCCAATATTCTTGTTTCTGTTGTTCACTGTAATTACGAAACCTTCTATGTCGTAACGTTCTAGCAAATGATAAAATGACTGATAGGATTTCATTTAAATCTTTTATTATATGTTCTTGATCCTCTTTAAGAAAACATTGAAATAATATACAATCTAAAATATGTTCATGGTATGAACGTAATGATTCAAGATCTTTAATAGCATATTCACTGTTACCAATGCTGCTGACACCATTATCGTCGTCATCGTCATCGTCATCGTCATTATTGTTAACGTATATATCAGAATCAGGATTAATTTTTGATGTTAATTCTTCATTATTGGCATCAATATCCATGTTATCGTTTTCACAAAATTCTTTATGTGATTGTGGCGATTGTGGTGACTCAAATTTTGATGCTTTTGCAATTTTATTCAATCTTTTCATTAAAGTTGACCATGTGGAAGAAATAACAATGTCAAAAACATAGCCATTTAAAGCGGCAATAAATTGTTGTGATCGGAAACAAAAAATATGAATCAACTTGCTATCATTGTAATCATTATTGGCCTTGGACAAGTAATATCTTTGTATTCATCTTTCACAAATGGGCAAATATTCTGGTAAAGATATTCTTGCCTTTTGTAATCTAAAGGTGGTGGTGTTAATACTAAAATGGATGAAGCTCTAATTTCTTCCAAAATATCTGCTTTCTTGGTTTTCAATAAATTGAATTCAGCAAAAGGTCCATTAGCAATTTCCCAAGCTTTGACTACACCAAAATTAATTGCTTCAAAAAGAAAATGTTGATATTTCTGGATGCTTGGTAATTTTTTAAAATAAAATTCCCAAAATTGCTTTAATATCTAAGTATTGAAAACCTTTTCCACCTTCATAACACTGAGCTTTATTAAATCCAGCTGGGTTAGACTTTTTTATTACCTCAACTACATGGCCAGACAATCTACTCTTGTTCTTCTATAGAGTTTTTTAATCAATCCAAACTGCCATCACATTTAAATTTAGTATGTCCAGGAATCATGAAATTCAATTCAATACTTTCATAATAACCACAAATTACTAAATATAAATAAAACCAAATAGTGTTATCATTTTTGTTTTGTCCTCCAGCATTATCACAAGTGTCACAATTAATTTTGGGAGAGTATGTTTTAATTGATTATAACAATTTTTGTTAGTTTATGTGGATCAGAATGAATAGGCTAATACTAATGAATTAGATTTATTAGTGGATAGTTTTGTTTTGATAAAAATGATTTATTTAATTTTGTATTTAGTTGAAACTAATTATTAAGTTAATTTGTTACAAAGTTATTCTTCGACTACAGTGAATCCTCATTCCTTATATACATGTCAAATTATATGTATTTCAATTTGGGATATTTAGCCCAGTTTGGGATATTCCTCCCAGTCTGGGATATATAGCCCAATCTGGGACAATCTTTGTTAATTACTACTAAATAAAGGTCTAATGTTAACATGTTACAAATTAATTAAATATGCGGAATGTAATGTGCAGTAGCATCAATACTGCAATACTGTGTTTTACCCTTTGAATAATTTTGATTGATCGATTTTCTGCTAATTTTGTGTTTTTATTATAATAATTTCTTTCTACTTGTCTTTAGACAGATGTTCTTTAAATATTTTAAGTAATTCTTTGGCTTCTTCTTCCTGGCGAGCATTATAATGTAAACCAGTCCTGGGCTCATAATTTGAATCTCTGGTGTCAATTGATGTCATAATTTTCTGAATGCATCATATTTTAAGGATTTCAAGTTACTATCTTCTTCTAGACCAGCTAAAAAATCTCTGTGGACTGATTTATAACTCATTTCAGCTGGTAAGAATACAATTGATTGAGTTATTCTATTATACTTCTTCCTGGACTTGGTAATCCATGGACTTCTGCATAATTTTCTAAAAATCCTTTTACTATTTCTGCAACATTTTTATCAATTACCATCTTGGTTTTTCATTGAGGCATCCTTTTAATGTTACCATGAATTCTTGGTAAGAGACAATTTTTTATTAGATGATTTCTAATGTTTTCAAAATAAGTCATATGAATTCCCAACATATTGAGATAAGTTTCTTGACAAAGGGGTGTATTGTGATTCCAGTGATAGAATGTTCTTTTATTAGATCTAGTTTTCTTTTAAGGCATCTACTAGTGCTTATTGTCTTTCCATCCATCGCTCTAATCTGTGCAATTAAAAATATGTCTTGTTCAGATTTGGAAAGTGCTTGAAAGAATTCCCTTAATTCTGTAAATTGTTTTTGAAGAGCAATCACAATCACAACCTTTTTCTAAAAAATCAATTGCTTTTTGATATTCATTAGAACCATTGTATTTATTATTTCATTATTACTTTCATATAACTATATATAATTTTATGTTCACTTTGTAGGTTTTTTATAATTGTTTTAAACAAATATTTTTACAAAATTCTTTAAGCAAAATCAACTGGGTATTTTTTATTAAAATTAACAAATAAATTCATGAAAAAAAAAGGAATACATACAATGAAATAACAATGTAATTATTCATGTAGAAATAAAAAAATTTTGTCTTTTACATCAAAAGGTTCACCATATAACTGTCATGTTCCTGTAGAGTCTGGTACCCAGCACAAGCATCATTGTGTCTCATAATTTCAGGATTAAGGAATGAAAGATATGTTGGTTGTTTTTTGTCCAAGTCTACCAGCCCAATCAAAATCTATAATTACAATATCTACTTGATCATTATTATCACCAATTTTTTGTTTCTTCTTACAGAGGATATTTTCACATCTTAAATCACCATGTACAAATTCTGCATTATGCATCTTTATAACTGCTTTTTTAAGGCATCAGGAAAATGGGTACAAATATTATGCGTATATAATATGCAATTGCAGGGATTAAGCATATAATATATGTACAAT